AGCTCCCTGGGTGCCAAGGCGAGAGCAGAGGCAGCCACGCTCCTGCTGCCCACCCGCCAGCAGCCGAGCGCGGCTCCATCTCCTCTGCCATCTGGGGAGGGAAGGGAACAAAGGCAGAGAACAATTGCTATTGTTTCCCAAGCCTTTCTTCGGCCGGTTCCTCCAGCGGGGTGCTGCTGCCCAGCCACTCCAGCTGCGGCACCGCAGCCCCGCTGCACTCGGAGCTGTGCAGACGCCGGCAGGGACACGGCCCCCATCCCCAGGTACCTGACACCCAAATCCTCAGAGCCTGGTCCCCCCTAGCATGGAGAGAGGGACGGAGCCCACACACCGCAGCTCCAGCCCCACTCAGCTCTCCCCCCGCCTTGCTGGGCGTCCCCGAGATGCTCAGGCATGGACACCCATCTCCCCATAACCTCTCAAGGCGCAACGCCCGCGCCAGGGAAGGGGCGATCCCGGGCCATGGCTCAGGGTGGAGAAAGACGGAGCAGGCTGTCCCAGGGAAGCTGGCCCACCCTCCCCTCCACCCGTGGAGCCCACGCAGCGAGGCGAGCAAGCCTTTGCTGGCAGCAGGGCCCCACGCCGGGGAGCAGGAGGTCATGCGGAAGGACCGTGCACCAGGAGGACGAGTTATCCCCCTTGATCGTCCTCTGAGCAGGGCTCTAATTACACCCCATCCTGTCCCAGCACCCAGCTGATTGCTGCCTTTGAAGTCCGGGCTTTCAGAAACCACCTCAAGGCTGCTCCAAACTGCACTTGGCGAGAGCGGGGAGGGGTGAGAGCCAGGAGGGGATGGGCGAGGGTGGCAGCAGGGGCTGCTGCAGGAGGTGGAGCCGGGGTCCCGCTGGCTGCCGGGGCGCTCAGCATGTGGCATCACCCTGGGCAGGTGGGTCCCCATGGGTCCTGCTGGGGGAGGGCTAGAAAGGTGTCTACAGGAGGGTGTCTACAGAAGAAGGTGGTATCTAATGGATGAAAAAGAATTCAGCCTAACACAAGTCTTGTTCAACGGGGATTGCAATTGGTAAAATAAATCAGATGCTCCCTAGCTACTGACTGGGTGTTAAAAGGGCAGATGCCAAAGAGCATCAAATGCTAAATGTGAGGCTGCATGGGGACAGTTTGTACAAGTGGCTTCAGCAACGATACTGATGTTTTCAGAAAAGCAAGTTTCATATAGAGCCCTAAGATTGTAATAAGGCCCTCAAACACAAGCACTCCCACCAACCCCATGCCTAGGCTCCAAGGCAGATCTTGTGTCAAAGCAGGATCTGGCCAAGGGAAAAACTCAACTTCTAACCTCCTCTCCTGGAAAAGTGGATTTGAAAACACCTGCTCTCCAGCCTGCCCTTCTGGCATCGCTCCTTCATCACAAGAACTGGTGAGCAAAGCTGAGCTCCAGCTGAGCGAGGCCCCTCCGGAGCCACCCTTGCAGCAAGCCCCTCCAACACCAACCAGGAGGATCTTCAACCCCAGGGGCTTCCGCCACCGCATCAGAGCAAACTCCCCTGATTCAGTCACTGCCCCGTGCTCCACCATCTCCCATCTCCCAGAGGGATGAGTGGCGAGGAGAAGCCGTGCAAGACATAAAGCCCTGGGGATCAGCTCCTCAGTCCACTGCCTCTTGCCCCTCAAACACGCTTGCCCCACCGAGTGAGGTGTCCCCCCCATCTGACGGCTGCCCCTGGCCAAGCTCAGAGGGATCGGCGTGTCGGCCGGACCGACAGACAGGGATCCTGGGGAAGCAGCATGCCAGGAGAGGAGCCTGCGTGAACCCATCCCAGGCACACTCCCCAAAGAAACCCTGATTCACCTAATGCCGCGGTGCCAGCCCCAATTTGGGGTCAATTTGCCAAATTGTTTCGGTGTGGGAAAAGCTGTTTTGGGGAAAAACTCCCAACCCAGCCGTGGGCGGAGAGCCTCCGCGTGCTGGGCCCAGCACCCCAGTGCGTGGGTACTCCCCACCCCCCCCCCCCCCCAAGCATGTTGCATCCTGCAACCTCTGCTGCTTTGAACCCACCTCCCCCACCCCCCCCACCCCGTCACCCCGCAGCCCCCCAGAGGGGTGGCCAGGCCGCAGCAGGCACGCTCGCCTTCCCTCCGCAGCCCCGCAAGCCCCGTCCCAGGGCACCCACCCTCCTGGCTGCCCCTCGCAGCCCCCCCCGGCCAGGGTGACCCAGTTCCTCCCAGAGCGGCCAGCAGCGCAGAGCCACAGCCTCTCCCTCCACCTCACAGGCCTGACACTCCTGCCTGCATCCCCCGGTTAAATGCACCAAAAAGCACCCCTGGAGAGCCCTGCCCCGGCGAGCGGGGGCCGGCTGTGCCCCGTGCACGGAGGAAGGGGACTCAGCCCAGGACTCATCTCATCCCACACCCTTCACGAACGGCGATGACATGACTGGACAGACCCGCTCGCAAATCTCTCCCCAAGAGCTCACGCACACGCTGCTAACACCGGCAGCTGCTCTGTAATAACCCACCATCCGCATCATTACCATTAATTATATATTAACATACCCCATAATCTTAGCTGCTGCTAAGTCACATCTCAGGGGTGCGAGCCGCTTTCAAAAGCCACCTGGCTGGTTCTCCTTTGGCTCTGACACCACCCACCCGGGGCAGAGGGGCTGGCGGCCGAGGCAGCGCTACGATCAGGGCTGGGACGGGCAGGAAGGTTGCCGGGGCTGGAGTCGCAGGGAAAGCACCGACGTTCCCCACCGCCCTGTGCTCCCGGGGGACCACGAGAGCACCGAGCACACTACGCGGGGCCAGCGAGCACTCAGCGGCTCGAGGAATTCCCTCCCCGGGGCTCGGCTTCACCCCGGCAGCAGCAGGGAGCCTTGCGCAGCCTGCGCGACCCCGACGGTGCTTTCGGCGCACCACATCGGCCGCACCAGAGGTGACACGGGGAGCCCTCGCCGGGGCTCGGCACCGGGGCTGTTCGTGCCCAACGCGGGGACAGCAGCTCGTCCCAAGCGATTCTAGAGGAATTCTCCAGATTGCAGCACCTGCCCCTTCCCGACCATCCCACCAGCTGGCGGCAAGACCCTCGGCGTCCCTCGCCTCGCACTCCTCGCGGCCCCTGAGCTCGCTGAAAGGCAGAGCCATCTTCCTCTTCCACGTGAGGGAAATCTGAAAGAGAAGCAACACGGGGCTGGGTGGCTCCATGCTCGTACCCCCGTGCCCTGCCACTGCCCTGGCTCACCGCTCCTCGGGCAGGGGCGGCTGCTGCTTCAGGTCCCTTTCTGGAGCTACCTCCTAACTGCTGCGCTGAGCCCCCACCCAAGACAAGCCCAGTATCAGCAGCACGGCTGGCAAGGGGGATGGACATTTTGGGGTGGTTTTCCTTTTCAATTCTCACAGGGGTAAAATTCACAGCATCCTCGCCGGGATGCAACTTCAGGAGGAAAGCAAGGATCTCCCGAAGACACAGAGCTTTCACCATTTCATCTCGAAGGCGGCACACCACCTTCCCTTCATGATACAGCCCCAGCCAAAAAGAAAAAAACAAAACAAAACAAAACAAAACACTGGAAAGCAGCCTGGGGCTGGCTCTGCCCCGAAGGTGCAGCCGTTTCATGTGGCTCCAAGGCCTCTCACCCAGCAGCTTACACTTTCAAAGAACCGCTTGCATGCACACAAAACACAATTAATGACTGTCTCGCATCCCACTGTGTGTGTTCTGACACAGGCCCATTTGCCAAGGGAAAAAAGTGTGCGTGTGTGGATGTATGTATACACAAAGGCTTTAAAGAGGACATTGCTTGCATTTTTCCATCTTTGTGAAGGGTTTTGTTTGGGTTTTTTTAATATAAAAGCCTAAAGCAAATATAATGCAGAGAAAGGGGGTTTTTTAATCTTTAATATTTTACCTGCATGTTTAACACCTGTAGAGCTTCAACACTGCCCACGGAACACGTTTTATAGTAACTGTTTCAGACTGAAAAAAAAGCAACTGCTCAGAAAAAACGTTGTGATACTAGTCAGTAGCACACGCTGCCAACGCAAGTAATTCTTTCACGAAGGGAGAGGATTAAGCCTTCCAGGGAAGTCTCTCAGGGGACGGACGCAGCAGCTTTGCCAGCTTTAACTCTGGGGTGCTCCCCGACTGCAGTGAGCTGCCTGGGTGGTGAATCCCTCGCAGGGCAAGCCGGGCACGGCAGGAGCCCACCCGCCTCCGCACAGGCGTGCAGCTGTGCGAGACCAGCCCTCCTGCTCTGCCGGGGGATTCGGTTCATTATGGGATAAGGAGGGTGAAGTTTGACATCCCTCCCGCGAGTAAAACGAACAGGGAGCCTAGCAGCCCGACTGTGGTGCCACGGTTAAGCCATTCGATGGGCACGCGTGCTCTCTGCCCGTTTCAGCTAAGCGAACAGCCATTGCTCAGGACAATTGTTCTCGCCTCGACGAGGCAAGTTTTAGTCCTCTGAGGTGGACTTCTGCTTACGTTTTGTCCCCTGCAAGACTGCCTGGTATATATGTTCGCTGGATGGCTTAAAACACCTGAGTGAACAAGCCTGCTGCATGCCAGTCACTTATAAGTAACTTTATTTCCAAGCAACAGAGACTGGGGGACTATGAAAATTCTCAGGGGGAACTAGACATCTAACTGCCCTTCATAAACCCAAGAGCTCACATCAGCAGATTTTGAATGGTATCTGAAAACTCACCATTTACCTGTTGCTGTAACAACATATTCTGGGCCAGGTACAAAGGTCTTGTTATGATCCATGTAAGAAGTAAACTGCATCACATCTTCCAGCTGTGAGATTTTTCGTTTTCTTTGAATTATCAAGTCATTGCCATCATTAGAAACAAGACACTTGCCTGGAAAGCCCAAGCAACTGTGTTAACTCTTCCACTCTGCTAAAGCATCCCCTGCGTTTTAACTGTGTTAGAGTAAACCCTTCCACTCCTTTGGACCAAGGCAGAATTGGGCTCTCTTGACCAGTTAGTTGGTTACCCACCTGAAACACCCACGGGAATACACTGGCATACATCTATGAAAGGAGAAAATATAATCACTTTATTTTCAGTATACAGACTAGATCCCACCATAAAATAAAGATAATGAATGAGCACACACGAATAAAATACTCTGCACTGAAAAAAAGCCCACTTTTGCCACGACTGCAGAATCCATCGTTTGGCGTGTGGTGCTCACAGCTCCCCAGCGTTGTGTCCAAAAGCAGCTGCAGTACTCCCAGGAACAACACTCCATCTACTACAATTCAAAAAAAAATGCTCCCAGTTTGCATAGAAATTCTACATTTTCCTGTATGCCTTGAAATACTAGTTAGGTACAACACTATTTCATCACCTCTGCTCCGAAACTATGTCAGGTCCCCCTCCCACCCTTACACCAAGGCAAGAATTACTTCTACAAGGAGGTACGATCAGCAAGTCGTAGCAATAGGAACTCTGTAGAGGTGCACAACGATGGCATACTGCGACCTGCAGCATGTGAACATGCAGCACAGGCAGCAAGACATAAATACTGACAAGTTGTCCACACGCGCATGCACACAGTCACTTCTGTTCAGCTCTCTCCACCGCGCGACTCCTTCCACGTCACACGCTTTTCACAGAAAAATAAAAAGCCCTTCTCAAGTTTAGCCCCTTTAAAGCTGCCAACAAAACGTGATTCCACGTGCTATCAACGGGCATGTTATTGCTTGTAGTAAACTGGAGAAGATTTGGACCTACACAAGAGATTTGCTTGCAAAGCACAAAGGTCAGCAGTGGCCCCTAAGCAGTTGTGCAAACTGATTGTTGCAGCTGGTATTTCCCACACCCTCCACACCAGCGGTCGGCTACAACGCTCTGCAGTTCCAAACAGGCGGCGTAGCAGCCTCTAGAAAAACAGGCGGTGTTTTCTCTGACTCCCATTCAAATACACAAGAGCAGTCAGCATAAATAAGTGTTACGGTTAATTTTACAAAACTTGTCACGTCCATCTTCACTCGTTCGCCTGAAAAACGGGTGACCTGGGCTGTAATGGCAAAGGCCAGCAGTGCCTAACCCTCTCCACAGCCAAATGTCAACAGGAGAGGAGCTGACATTATTGCAGCGATGTTTTACATGCCCAGAGGAGCCAACACGCTCTCACTGGATTTCCAGACTGCCAGTGACCTACCTCACCCACGGGGAACCTGACCAAAATGTTTAAGAATCCGGTCTTTACATCTTGCACCTCTAACTGAATGTAAAGTTTACAACTGAGTGTCTTTAAGGAGTAATAAAGCAGCTCTTGGGATGTCTTCCAAGCACCGACTCAAAGGCTCAACACAAACTCACAGTGTTACACGGGAACAGCAGCCCATTCCAGACCCCCAGCCACTCACTGACAACTCTAGATCTTCTGTTAAAGTTGCGTGCTGCACAATCCCTTTCTTTCCTAACACATCCTGACCATAACCTTGTTTTATAGTCTCTCTTGCTAACCCTACTCTTCAAATCAGTTCTGACTGCAAACGCTGTCCTCAGCTTAGCCAGTTTCATAAAACTGGTAAGATTATTTCCCATCTACTGGTGCTCCAGATGCAACGCTACCTATAAAAACATACAACTGATTCTTCCAGCAGGTGATCCAAGCCAGCTCTGTTCTCAAACAGCAGATTGGTGAAGGTGGGCTGCAGGTTGCAAAGTCTCCAAGCTTTCCGTACCATGAAGTGAGGTAGCAAGAAGCAGCCTTTGAAACAGCATTGTCTCCATATTTTTCCCCAGTATTAAATCCCTTTTCCACACAATTTAGTGAGTGAACTAGAGGCTTTTCCGGAGCAGTGGAAGAAGAAAAGAGATGGTAAATAAATAACGAATTATAAGAAGATCTAGTTTTGAAAAGTTTTCCTTTTTGGTACCAGCACTGAGCACTGCTCATTTTCAGGTGGAGAGAAATACAGAACACTTCTGTCTCTTTGCGAGCTTAAAGTCCAAGTGACTTCTGCACAATCTGCTTGGCAATTTTGTTAAATTGTTCTCTGTCTTCCCGCCACATCTTGGAGGCATCTACATTGGCTCCGCTTTCATCATTTGGCTCTGAAAAGAGAAAGACCAAAAGATAGGTGGGCAGGCAAGCAATGGAGCAAGACCCCCTTGCTTTTTCAATAATGCCTCTGTACTGCCACTTCCCTGGGGCTTTGGCACACTTCCCCTGCTTGGGACGACAGAAACACCACCAAAGAAAATCCACTGACTGCTGCTGGAGTCCCAAACAGTTCTGATTTAACAGATCACATGAGAGTATCACAGAGCAAGGTCAAGTTTAGGTAAGAAACAAGTGGCAGAGGAGCAAGACTTTCTTTTGTTTATGCTCTCAGCAGTTGAGCTCCAGCGCGCACATGGGACTACACAATGCAGCACCACCAATGCCATCAAGAGTTTTTAAAACAGCACACTGCTCCCCACAAAATGTTTTTTTCTGGTTCTGCGGCTTCACAGACACAAAGCCCTCCCGACCAGGCCACCCAAACAGGCTCTGTCACTCTTTGGGATGGCTCGTTCTATTAAAAAACAACAAAACAAACCAAGAAAACCCATAGAATGCTTTCATTTCTGCAACATCTTTCATCTGAGGATTTCAGAGCACTTTACAAAGTACATTAGCCCCCTCCTCCTATGACTCCAACACTTCATTTTGTACAGAGGTAAGCTGAAACATGGGATTTATCAGGTTTGTGGTCAGCATACAGCGGGACGATTGTCATGGGATGACACAAACCACCAAGACAGAATGCACTCCACTCATTTTGCTTCACACACTAGTCCAAATCCATCCCAGCCCAGTTCACAGCAGACATCTTGGGCTCATGACTCTCTCGACACAATGCTGATGATCTGTCCCAAAAAGTCAGTAGATGTGTAGGTCACCCAGTTTGGTAAACCTGGCCTTATGCTATCTGCAGAGCCAGAGCTGAGTTTGCCAGCAGCCTGAAAGCAAGTGACCGATTGCTGTTTTAGACTAATTCCTCCAAAAGCCACGAGAAAACAGGATGCACAGCCAGAGAACAAGAGAGGTCAGGTGACTCCCACGCTAGCCAGTCCAGGTAAGGCTGCATCACAAACCAAGTCCTTGGAGGGCACGGGAAGCCCAGCGAGGTACAGCTTCTCTGCACAGCTTCCCCAAAATAGTGGGCTACTATTTTGAAGATAAAACGGTCCCACGTGAGAATCTGTTGCTTGCTCTTTGATCAACTTCACCTTCTAAACCATCTAAAATCTTTTATCATTCAAACCCAGTTCTAAGGGACACGGCTCTGTCCCCTGTGTGGATAAGGATCCGTCCTTTAGGGAGCTGTATGTGACAGAGCTGATCCACAGCCCTTGCTGGATTCAGGGAAAGCCATTTAAAAGGCTGCACAAAAAGTTTTTCACCCCACCCCTCTTCTTAAGAAGCCTTTCTCTGAACCAGACGTGGAAGAATGGGGTACATTCTCATCCAGGCAAATAACAACCAGAAATGGAGGGTGCTGGCTTGTGAAACACGGAGGCCATGGACTCCAGGTTCCCATACTGGTTAGATCCGGCTCTTAACACTTCAGCTGCTAAAGCCAAATCCAACACAGGCTCTAATCAATAGCTTTAAGACCTGCAAGAGCTGAAAAGAGCTGGGAACACCTGTTTAGTAACTCAATCTTATTTTTTTTCAATTATTTTCATAAAACTGGTTTATTAATAAATAAATACTAGGGCTTTAAGAACTGCGGTTGCTGCTGAGCAGCTTTAAATGTCCTTTGCTCACCAACAAATCAAACAGCAAGAAGCAGCTCTAACTAACTCAGTAACTGCTGTCTAAGCTACTGATAATAAAAGAGCAGTCCTTACCTGCCAGCATGCTAACAACAGACAAGAGGATCTTTTCCACACTCTGCACGGGACTCCACCGCTCAGCGCTGCTCTCATATCCCATGGGATCATCCCCAGGAGCATGAAGAATAGAGATGCAAACTCTCCCATCTGGGTAAACTGCACAAGAAGTACAGGGGATTGATTGTTACTCAGTGGAAACACTTGGCCTCTCCAGATCCTTAGCACAGATGAATGTTTGGACTTGGCTTTCACAGGACTGAAGCTAAACCCAGTTTTAAATTTCCTCTTCCAAAGGCAAGAAGACACAAAATCTGAAACACAAAAATCTAGCAAAAATTTCCTTTAAGCAAATCTAACAAACATGGGTCATCCTCCACCAACCGAAGCCTGCTGGGAGCGCTCGTGTCATTTAATAACCAGTGACAGGCTCCATGGAAAAAAATATGAGATGCAGTCTGGTGGAACAAGGCAAGTATTTATGCACACACACTGCTCCAAGTAGTTAACCGGTCCTACTTAAATCGAAGGGTAACAGTCACACAGCACTGAATGCATGCTGGAATCCTCCACTGGACTGTGACCATAAAAAGAACTGCGCAAACTTGCTCTGCTGCGGCAAGGAGGGAAAAGTGGTATGTTATAAACAACATCATTGATCTTATTTTGAACATTACTGAGGTGCAACCAGAAGAGCTCACGCTACTTTTTTTAATGTTGCTTAAAGCTCAGCTGCATAAATTGCATGGAAACAAGGTAAACTAACAATTAAGGATACAGATGTCTTCCCCTCCCACCTTTAGTGTAAGCAAAGCATCTGCAACTGTACAAATCGTCTTCACAGATACTGGACTCCCCTGACTTGATAATGAGGCCAAAGAAAGGCTGAAGAGGCAGCACAAAGAGAATGAAGTTCAAAACACTGCTTTAGCAACACGGCCTCATTCTGCAGCCTCCCACAGAATGACAACACTAGCCCAGTACTTTCAGTGCTGCTATTCCTCGGGTGACCAAACCTGTGCCACTGCCAGGAAAACAAGACAAAACAAAAAGAGGGAATGACCGTGGGAAGCAATTGTGCTCATTCCCAGTTCTTCCCATTCACCTAGCTAATGTCTGCACAAGCCTGCAACACATAAGGGCTTTGGAAGACTTTCATTTACATCCTCTCCTGCAGCCCCAGGCTGGGGCCAGGAGCTGGGTCTAGCCATAGCTGGAAGAGGTAAAAACAACACATGCTGAATCTGCACTTCTCCTTGCAAGTTAGGAACACGCTGGGAGAAGGTATTTCGCTTGTAAGTTACTCTAATGTTTTTATGCAGTGCCTCATTTAAAACAGCTGGACCACAGCAGCACAGTCAAGACAGGAAAGGCTGATTCCAGGAAGGAGCAGGCATCTTCCCCCTTCGTCACTAAGTACTAGTCTGAGACTTGCCATTAATCCGCCACTTTGAAGTTACCTTTGCCAGACCATCCATGAACGTAATTTTATTTTAAAAGATAGCTTTGTGGTGTCTCAATTCACCCCGTACATAACGCAAACTGCAAAGATAAGGGAATGCAGCAGACCATTTAAACACTTTCCTTGAGAGTCCTCACAGGTGGAATAAGCACTTAAGCAACAGAAGAAGCATTGTAGAGCCACCTATTTCTACAGTCTTTCTGGGTATAACCAGACCATCACAGTCCCACCTGAGAAGACAGACTGAGGTGGCCACTTTAGGTGATCTCAACTTTAAATTAACACGACCCAGAATCAGAGGAATTTAAAGAGCTGAGCTGACCATGCAGTATGTTCCAGTTAAGGCCACAGAGGAAGTGCCCAGGTGTAGAGCCACTCTGTAACACAGGAGAGTCAGGCAGTTTGTGCTTCTCCCCATCCCACTCCTCCTGATGATGCTGCACACAAAGCAGCTGTGAGCAGTGAGCCTCAAGACAAGGCCACAAATGCAGCTACAGAGGATTTGCCCATGGAGACCAGTCCTGCCAAGAAGTTTGTGTGAATTAGTCCAGCTGGAGCAAAGTGCCAATGCGGCCACACTGCTGCAGACATCAGAGCTTCAGAGGTGATGCTACACTGCCTTGGGCATGTCTGCACAGTTCTACGCTGTGACATGCAGGTGTGTCTTCCACAAGAGAACAGAAAGATGGCAATTAAATGGGCAAGAATCTTCATCAGTGGTACTCTGAGAAGGGAAGAACAGAAGAGCGTCAAGAAATTGCAAATTTCCTTGGAATGGGATAAAATAAATCAATTCCCAGCTGAGATTACGATTTGTGTTATGAAAGTGCAGGAGCATCATCTGGGGAGGAAACACTAGGCAGGAGGAAAGCATTTTCCTTTTATTGCTCTCAAGTGGCAGAGACCTAACAGCTTAGAATACAGATCCAGCTCATCAGATCTGGGTGATGATAAACAATGTTTGCGCAATCCATGTTGATTTAGCAGGTGGCATAAGCAACAATTTTACAAAGAATGCCAAGGCTGACTCCAGAAAATAGTGCTCCAGGCTGCGAAAGGGGGCTTTAAGGTTTTCACCTGCCCAAGGCTCAAACTTGTTAGTGGAATAACTTGTTACTTTCATTACTTCCACTGAAAAGTCTGAAGGTAATATTATCCCCATGAGAATTGCAGAGAAACAGCCAGCAAAGTCTTAATATTAAATGCCTGCAAATGTGTCATCTGCTTGGACAGAGCACTCTATTTCAGAAAGATCATGTCAGAAATGTTATTAAACCTGTGACTGAATGGGAAAAAAGCCATGCTGCCTAAAAAAGGTGCATCCACATTTTGGTGAATGCGAACAAATTTTCACTCATTAAAATAACACCGAATTACTTAAATACAAGGCACAGAGCAAGACTGGAAAGCGTCTGTATTAATTCACTAAATCACACATCATGTACAGAAGATTTATGTTTACACTGTTTCTCCGATAGTTACAAGTATTCCTGGAATGATCTTAAAAGCAGCACAACTGCTGGAATCTTTACTGGACTGTTTGTGACCAAAAGGTATAGGAGGAATCACATGATGAAGAGAAAGTGACCCTAAGACAGAGCAAAACTGCTGGACAGCTCAACACTCCTACTGCACACTCAAGGTTGGAAAGGGAGAGAACCACCCTTGGCAAGGGTGCCAGCCCTCCTGCTGCAGAAGTCTGTTTTCAAGGCGCGCAAGCAACCCACCCCCCGTATGTCCCGCTGCGTCAGACTCACTGTTTGGGTGGAACATCTCGCACGTGAACCTCATCTTCGGAGGGCTTAACGGGTAGTCGAGTGGAAAGCTCAGAATTGCAGGGAAGACCCCATACTCGAAACAGGTGTCTTCAGGACCCCTAGGAACAGACAAAAAGCTATTCACCAGAGTTTTAAATAATTCTTCACCCAGATTCTTCCGAGACATTTGAGTTTTGGGTTATATCATCTTCTCCAGAAAACAAAGAGTTAACGCCACTCTTACCCCACACACCTCATAAACTTAAATCCAAATATGGGGCTTGGGAGGGAAGAGGGAAATCAAAGCTTGCACACTAAATTACTAGGAAGGTCACAACACTGTTTAATTAGCAGGGTGTGTCTGGATATAATTGGAGTATCTGGCTCCAAGGCATGTTCCAGGATTTGAGCGTCTGCACGTCGAGAGAAAGCAGAGGCAGGTGTGGGACTCCTGTGCCTTTGAAGATACTGTTATGCTACACAAGGCAGAGATGTCAAATGCTGTAACTCTGAAATAATTTATAAAACCTAAGGAGATTCAAACTGCCAGTATCGAGCATAACCACACATAAACAGTTATCGCTATCTGATGCAAAAAACACAGCAATGTTTTGTAAAAATAAAAACACAGCTCAGGGACCATAATTGCTAGATGCAGGACAACAGTGTTTCTTTGCAGACTTAAGGTATTTAGTTTGCGCTCCCCTCAAGTGCACGCAGAGAACAAATGGCTTCATCAGGATTCTTGTAGAAACATTTCCTTATTGTGTTCACCATCTAGTTCAAAGTGCAATCAAGTTGAGAATATAAAGACAACTATTTTACTCTCCCTACATAAAACATTTTTGGAAGATGAGCAAAAAAGTTTATTAGACATGATTTATTGAAACCTGATGAACCATCTGGAAGTTATAACACAAACATGATCTCCCTTGATTGGAAAGCCCATGAAACAAGCTTCATCACTGAAAATCTTAGCCAAGGGAAACCTCATGTATTCAGTAAAAATCTCTACAAACAAGGTTTACACTGTCTGGGAAATTAGGTTTAGGAATATGCTCATGCCTCCTCCTTCCAATCCACATTCTTCATGCCAGAAAGAACAAGCTCAAGCACTCCTAACAGTTAAGGCTGCAATTGGTAACAGAAAAAAAAAAAAAAAAGAAAATTGAGACCAGCAAAACCTAGAGCCTTAGGAGGCTCACTCTTAAACCTTGGGATTCAGAAGACTTGGCCGGTAGATAAACAGAAGAACTACGTGATTTAAACCTAAATATTGACACTGGCAGGTGAGATTTGAGAAATGCATCAACATGCTTCAAGAAAGAGAGCTAAACCGTCTCAACGATTTTGTTCCCTTTCCAGCCTTTTTCCTAAACTTAGTCAGGATTCAATTCACATCTGAGTAAACTGAATGCATTTTTTCATGAACATTTTAATTCCAGCTCTATTTTAAAGGCTTATTGTTGAACTTCTAAGAATATGTACATACATGCATTGAAAAGCTGGTGGGTGTCTTATGTTCTGTGTTGAGAGCAAACACACAGCCTTAAGGGCTCTTCTGTCAAATACGTTAACCCTACATGCTCCATTTTAGGCCCTGTATTATGTGAGCAAAATGCTTATGTTTTTAGCCATCCAGTGCTGCCAGGATCAACTTCAAAGAAATTATTAAAGTTAATCCAAGACAGCATTTGCAACTACAAAACACTCACACATTTAAACTCTGACAGCACCCCTTTCAGTTCAAAAAGGACATCGGCAGGGCCAGAGAGGTAAAGAGCACAGCACCTTCTGAAATCTTTACAGAACAGGTGGTGATTGCAAAGTACACCACATTCACAGCCTCTGTGCCTTACGCCACGATCTTGCCCGAGCTGCTGTGCTAGAGTCCAGGCTACCCAGTACTTGATTAGGGTTCCTCCAAGAAACACCCAGACCACGCAGTGGGGACACCCGTCCCACCGAGCAAAGAGCACCAAGCCAACGGGCCGCTTGCCTTAAGCAGCTCCCGCACCCCAGGGAAGACAAAGCACCGGCCATGGCTCACCGTGTGCACACAGAAGGCACTCATTCTGCACAGCCCTGAGGCATATAACTCTAAGAAATAGCTTGTCTTAAACCTGCTCCACCTAAGACTCTTTGCAGCCTGTAGAGCAGGCAATATCTGCAACCTTTTCCGCGCGTGATGGTACTCTACAGACCTCCCCCAAAGCGTTGAGGAGCAGGCATCAGCTCTCCTCCAGCCATCACAGGGCATTAAATGACTTCCTAGACAACGAGACTGTTGTGAGAGAGATGCTATGAACAACCCTGTTGACATAGTGTGAAAATAAGAAACTCTGAGCTCCATGAACTGGCCATTACTTAGGCAAGGGAAAGAAAAGGATGGCAGGCATTTGCCAAACCAGGAGGAAAAAGTGCACTGATAATTCTACAATCATTTCTAAATGGCTTCTTATTTGTAAAAAGATGCTGGAAAAAAGACAAAAACATACAGTCATCAGATTCTTTAAAGGGGAATTCCATGGTAAACAAAAGTCATAAGACTAATTATAGATCTAATTACCTTTCTAGACAGGTTTTTGCTAAGTTGACTTCAATTTATACTGTTTAGTTTTCAAGCAACCTTTAGTTCTTAACAATTACGTGGTTTTGTGTCTTTTGGAGATAAACTTTAATAGCAACACACACTTGCATATGCCAACCAAAGAGGGCAAAATTTGGTCTTGAAACATAAATTCATTAACTTGCACAACACAATCCAGCCTGTCAGACCTCACGCGGCGCTAAGGAATTGAGCGGCATTACGGTAAACTCTCTTGTCATGCTGGGGCTATTTATCACCACAAATAAGTCACCCTGTCACAAAAACTTGGCTTTCAGAAATACCAATGCAACTACTGTTTGATGTCTCATCAAAAGGGTGCATTTTACATCAGGCTCCAAACCTCCACTGTTCAGAAAGACTACCGTATTGTATTTTCAGTTCTGGATCTACTGCACTCACTTTGGGAGCCTAAGAACTGTTTCACCATTCAGCCATGTCAATACAGCTTCAACATTTATATATTTAACATTTAATCAGCACTGCTGCTGCGGGCAAGAACACCAGAAATACAAATTACCACCACCATTATTTTACTTGTGAGTCAAACTCTTACATCCATTTGTGTAACATTACCCAACCCACCCCTGCATTGATAAACGGGTGGTCTTTTCTCTCTTAGGTCTAACTTTTTTTTGTATTTATTTGCCATTATATGTGCTCTAGTTTTATATAAACTGGGTGAAAGAAAAAAAACAGTATTCTATTCTCTTCTTCGCTATTATGCTACTTACTTACCTTTTCACTTCATCCATCTAAAAATTTGAAACCAACTTTAATTTCCTCACCTGCACTTCTTTCATTCCCATAATCTCACACAGCACACTTGAGATTACAAAACATTCAAGAAAATTATCACAAATATAAACAAGTAATTTAGCTTGCTTTCCAAATGTACACAAATACTTCTACTAATAGGAGTTTTCTAAAGAGATGAAAGTAACCAAACGTGTTTAGGGTAAACATGTTTCTATTGTACCACAGCTTCAGAATTTAGCAGATCTTAAAATATAATTTTATTATGACGCACACACACAATACAGAAACCAAAATTAAAGCACCTCCACCTCTCATTTTGCGCTGACAAAGACCTGAAGCTCAACACTCAGCACTTTAAAGGGCTTTCAAGTCTGCCAGTGGCTCTTCTGTTGTTTAAGAGTTTGTTACGGGAAACATCAGAAAAAGTATTTTCTAGGTAATCAATCAAATCCAGAAGTGCTTCTGTGTGTCCCCCATGAAAGCTCTACTCAACCACAACGTCTCTGCTGCGAGAAAGTACCGATATGCAGGAATTTCCTCCCACATTCCGAGTGCACTAAATCCTCTGGGATTTCTACACTGCAAGCAACGCACAGCTGTCTGATCTGAAATTTGGTACATTACAAAGCGCATGTTTCAGAAAAGTGGTAACTAGGGTAACTGTCTCACTTGCAGAAAGATAAAGTGTAAGACGCTGCAGCCAAAATCTCTGGTGTCAGGCAACAAATTACCTATTTCCATGCTAAGTGTTTATTTGCAGGGGATGGAGCTACCAGGAGGTACAGCCTGCTTATCACAAGATAAATTGCTGCACATAAGCAGAGGCATTTGCCAACTCTTCATATCAATCAGCAAACGAGCAGTGGTAATCCAAATCTCCATTTACCAAGGCCTAAAATAACTCGGAAGCTCACGCTTGCCATAAAGTAGGATCACCCACGCAGCCAGCTTGTGTGGAATAGGTGATGTGCTACAGCTCGGGATGCTTCTGTATTGGTTGCATGCCTGATCCCAAGAAATCTTGGTTTCCATCCCTAGACAATACACTCTGAGCAAACCGAGCTAGGAAAATTCTGCTACCCATGCTAGTTCAGAATCTCGCAAGTCAGCACTGGTGGTTGCTGTGAAAACCTGCCAAGAGCAGAGCAGGCATGCTGCCTGCTGCCCCCCGTGTTCTCCTGGCTCTGGCTGAAGGAAAGGAAATCACCAACTCTTACTAAAGGTCTCTTTTTCTCCCCCCTGACGTTTTAGAACTTTATTTTGTAAAAATCATCAGTGATTCCATGCACTTAAAGTTCCCAAAGAAGGGTACAGCATGAGTAAGAGAGTACAAGCAAGAGAGAAGATGACTTGTAAGATGCTGGGCAAGATTTTTGTCTTTTCATGGCAAATTGTGCTATAAACAACTGTACCCACCAGTTCAGTAGCAGAAGGTGGAGTACACAGCTTTGTAAAGAAGTCTCTCTCACCCCCCCCAAACACAACAGGTAGTGATCACAGCTGTTCACCAACAAAAGAGCTTTCGACAGGGAACCACTGCACCTGATGTCTTTACAACACTAGCCAATTCATTAAGTGCAAAGAATTTAAAAAGATTTTTTAATTTGAATACTCTCTCAGATGTCAATACTCTCTTTCTAGAAAAAATGGAACAGTAAGTAAACTAATTTTACACATTGCTCTTTTTTTCTCCTACCACTGATAATCTGTGTATTTTGCTCCACTTAAAGCATGAGAAAAACCCGACCTGTATTTGCATTTGAGTAATGTTCCCAACACGTCTGTGTGATCTACAAGCAATTCCTTGTTTCCTACAGTGTTTGTATATACAATATATACGCAAGGGAGCCCAAATAAGGATTCCTGTCACATATGCTGAGTGTTGCTTATTATAATGACATCTGTACAACAAATGATCACTTAAGCCCGAACATTGCCTCTGTCACACTGTTTACACTTCAAATATAATTCCCTGCTTGGGTCAGAAAAAAAGTTCCCAGCCAAAGGTAGAGAAGTGGCTCTGTTCCTTGAATTCAATCTGACTCCCCCTGCACAGCCTGGAAAATGCAAGTGGAAAAAAAAGCAGCAATAAATGTCAATGTTATGCAGAACTGATATTATTTTTTTACATTCTTGTTCTCCTAGAAGCTAATCATAGTGTGCAAGTGCTGCTTTCAGATACAAAACAGTATTAACTCACATAATCAGAGCTTCCCATTCAAAGAAGTTCTCTTCATTCATGGGACCTATTAAGAAAAAAACAAAACAATGCTTAGCACTACTTGAATGCAAGGCTACAACTTCACAGTACACAAACCCTGCTCAGCTCCTCACCTGCTACGATCCCTTCTGGTGGGTTCAGGGTCAGCTCTGTGAAAAGAAAAATACCAGGAAAGTTAACATGACCTGCAAGCCCAAGCATTTCAGCTGGCATTTGGGTGGCCACAGCTTAGCACAGAGGCCCCACCAACAAACACCCTTGGAGAAAAGCTTGAGGACACCATGGGAGGAATCTTCCAGCCGTGCTTTACTGGGCAAAACTCCATATCCAGAAGGCCCAGTATCTCACTGCTGACAATTTAACTTCTTCATGCAAGACAGCTTTCTAGACAAAATTATTTGGCATTTTGTGCTTTTCAAGGGTCCCAAAACTAGTCTTCCCAGAGGCAGTAATTTAAAACTGAGAAGGAAGAAAAAAACCTCTTTCCATAAAGCATGGGAAACACTCTCCTCTTGGAGCACTGTAATATCTGCAGGTACAAACTCAACAGCCTGAAGAAAAAAAAAGGGATGTATTCCTGTAACCTCTCTGCACCAACTCAGGCTTGACAGCATCTCAATACAAACCCCAAAATGATGCAAAAAATTGGAGAAGCAGAAGCAACAGAGATTTGACAAGTGGCTCTGTTCCTTGAATTCAGTCTGACTCCTCCTGCACGGCCTAGAAAATGCGAGTGAAACCAGCAGCAGCAACAAAGCAGCCATGGCTGCACATGGCAAGTTTGGATCCATCCACCCTTACTTTCTGTAGGAAACTGGTCCAATTCCCACTTTGTACAATAACCTTCAGCATCAGTACTTCATTTCAAGCCTGCTGAAGGCCAGCCCTCTGTGCGCTGATAAAATAATCACCAGTTTTTCTACTATCTAGTACAGTGACCATCAACTTCCAGTTTCTGAAGGCCTGCGGGATGGTAGCAGCTGGCAAGGCAAAGAGCAGGCGTGCACAGGACCTGCAGTTCCTGGGGGGGCTGAACACCAGCCCCACAGCTCCGAGCGAGACATGAGGCAGTCGGTGGGACCAGTGGCAGGAGGTGACGCTCCAAGGGTGTCAGACCAGAGGAGGTGACAGTAATTAGGCCAGCTTAAGTAAGGGCTGTGAGCTGCTTATCTAGAACAGTGTTTCCCAACCAGTGGCCTGTGGACTACTAGTGGCCCATAACACACAAAATGCAGCCACAGGGAACGCCATGCACATTCCCACACACGAAAACAAGCAGGAACGCAGACTTGGGGAACACGGGAGGTCACAAGCTGATAAATGAGATGCTTGACCTAACTTCTGATAGGCTGTGTGTGAAAACTGTGAGTAGCACTGCACAAAACAGCACACGGATTTTTGTCTTCAAACAGCAAAGTTTCTGCTGGATTAAAAAATGTGCTGAGATACGCTGAGAGGAGAGGTATCAAAACTCTTCTGTTCACTCAGATTGCCATTAATTTTGGCACACATCTCTCCAACTGAAGTTCAAAAGCACAGCAGCAGACTGAAACTCAGCATTATGGTTTCCCACGATGTCCTAACGTTAAGGAGCAGGTTCTTCCAGCTTGATAGTGGGTTTCTAACAGCTTTTCTTGTTGATGTTTTTAGATAGAAAGAGGGAGATGTCAAACCCAGGAGCTCTTGGAGTCATTTTGCTCCATCTTGTGGCGCTCTCGAGGAAGAAAATCCCTCTGATATTTCCCGTGATTTCATTTGATAAACCCGGCAGCCTCTGTGGCTGCCTGGTGGCAGCATCTGCACGTCCCCTGCAGCAGCCAGCCGCACAGAAGTGTGCCGTACAGCTCTCCACCCCCAAGGACAACCCAAGTAATGGGAAGCGAGAGCCAAACCCCGTGAGCTAAGGGTCTTTACAAGGATGGAGGTTCAATCTTCCACTTCAACTTGTTCAGCTCTCCCCTCAGAGATGTTTCCAACAATAAGGATCAGGCAAAGTGGTAACTGGGCAGTGCAGGGGCACACGAGCTTTGATTTTAAGTGGCTGCTACTATACCTGGTCATTGAGGAAAGAAACCTTCCTTTTCCATGTGGATCGTCACATCCTACCCTGTGATTTCTCTAGAGCCGTTCAAAGGGAAATTGGGAGCACAGCTTTTGAGAGCTACACAGCACAATCTGCCAGTAGCGGACACAGCATCAGCTGCTTCAGTCTTACCAGAGCCTCTAAAATAGCATCGCTTTAATGCAGTGTCAGGAGGTATTTTTTCCAATTATTTTGAAGCGAGCAGCAAAAAGCATGTGATCAGAGCATTTGTTTTAACCTTTCACTGCAGAACAACTTTGACAAGTCAGCTAGGCCAGTCTCCTACCCCACTCTCCCCTGCCACCCTGCCCCTTTGTGGCTGTCCTCCCAAGCAAGTTGCGTGGCAAAACAGGAGCGCATCAGCAGTTGAAACAGGCCACCCTCTGCTCTCCATGGCATCCAGCCCGGGGGTAAACTTCTGCTAGACTGAGTTTGGCCTCCTGGCCTGCGCAACAGCCCCCTGCTCCCACATGCATGGTTTAAAGCTTTCCCAAGGAAAGCTCTCCCCCTCTGCATGTGCCAAGTCATGCTGTCCTCTCACTTGTCCACCCACGACAGCGGCGTGCCCTTTTTCCAAGGGGCAAGATCAGCAGAAAGGCTTTGCAGGAGCCCTCGATGTGGCAGCTCCTTGCCCATGGCTGACTGGTGACTGTGGGTCCAGAAAAAATCTTCAAGGAGTGGATCATCATGTTCCATGGGACAATCTGCCCTCCTGGCACCACAGCTCCGTCACCCTCACCTGGGCTGTGGGACTCCACGCTGGTGCTGGAGCACAGCCCCTGTTCTCGAGAGCATCAGGACTTCCCCCCACTACCAGTGGGTGGGCAGGTAACCTCTTTGGGGCAGGCAGAGCCAGGCCACCTTCCTGTGCTGGTATCTTACATGGACAGCTTTACCAGAGGTGCCATCAGCAGGAGCTGTGGGATAAAGCAACCTCCTGACATGCCCATGGAGTACCCTACTGACAAGCAAGACTTCAGGGCTCCTACAGAGCAAACGCATGAGCAACAGAGTCCTGTTAAGGGATTCCAAAAAGCAGAAGGGCAAGCAGTCAGCATGGAAAAAGGATAAAACAGAAAGCCAGAAAATGAATCAGTTTTGAAAGAGGTAAAGGGGAAGGCCAAGAAAACTCTCTGCAGGAAGCAAAGGCACGGCAGAGTTGCAAGGACAAGCTGAGGCTGGCAGCTGCTGCTGGAAGTGAAGGCTGTGACTTGGTGCCTGTACATCACCACAACCACTGCAGGGCACCCCAGGGTCTGGGGGGTTGTGAGGAGCTTTCTACTCAGACACGTGTGTTGGGTGCAGTCCACCACCTGATTCAGAGCAATGTCTCTCTTCAGTACTGGGGAGCATTTGGAGCAGTTTCCATCTTCACATCCTCCACGACGCATTCCGTTTGGTTTGCAGGATGGTTTTGCTGCACAGAGTCAGGGGATTTGCTTCCAAATTGAAATGCAGTGAAGTCCCAGCTTGTGGTACCATAGCTAAATATTACTTTAAAGCTTTGCTTGTAAGCTGAGACTGAATGAAACAGAGCTCACCCTGGAGAAGTACAATACTTCTGTTAGGAACTTGGGGCAGATTTGGGTGTACACACAATCAGTGCCTCCCCTTGCATTTCACTGCTCATTACGGAGTCAGTACAGACCAAGACAGACCAATTACACCTTGGCCAAAAGGAGAACTCAAAACACAACTTATTGTTAAAGCAGTTAATAAAAAGACTGATTACATTCTTAAGACAAGTCCATCAGTTTGCTTTCAATAAACTGTATCAATTTAGCGTATCTCCAAGGTGATTAAACATACAAGACTCAGGAAATATTAAGGGCACATACTCACTTGAGTATCTGACAGCATCTGGACTGAGAATGCTTGAAACAAGAATCCTGTTCTTTCTACTCTGCCAGAAATTCCATTTTCTTCTCTCTTCTCTGATGTAGCATCTGACAGTGCATACAACTAGGTACTACGATCCTTGCATCTACAGATTTGACTTAATACTTTCAAAGTAACCCATTTTAGATTTAAAAAGTTCAGCCAGCAACAAGACATCTTCAGGATCACAGAGTCAGGAAACAGTAAATGTACAAAAAGAAGGTTTCCATCTCTTAACTCTCACAAATGTAAGCTGCTGTTGAGTGACTAATTTCAGGCTTTAATACCATTCTAAACCTAGAATTAACAACAAACATATACTCTAACAGAAGCTATGCCTTTATATTTATCTGATTTTTTTTAAAGCTTTATCTAAATTATTTCTGGCAGAGTAAAAAAATACTTGAATAAATATGAGACAGCAAAAGATCATCATATGCCAAACGTGCAAACAAAGACCTAAACGAGGACAAAAAATAAACCCATCTCATCCGGCTTCCCAGAGCCACCTTCCCTCCCTTCTCCACAAGGAAGGGAAACAGTGCAATTTTAGAGCCTCTTCCAAAATGGAATAATGTATTTGGGCTCCAACAGGTAGAAACTCCTCACAACGTCAAACATTTTTCACATAAGGTGGCAATAAACCTTTATTTAAAGATTTAAACACACACACACACATACACAGAGAAAATAAAAGACCAAAACTAAAAAGGTAAAGCAAGTAAGGAAAGAATTAGGAGTGTGGTAAACAAAACACTGCCACTAGCAAGGCCCTGACTGCCCAACATCTCTGTCACGACTAGAAGTAACTGAAGGGAAGAGATAGAGCAGGATGAAAATTAAAGGATAAAAAAAAAAAAAAAAAAGCATGCACAAATATACACATGGATATATACATTTCATCCAAGGCAGGCAGCCAGGAGGAGGGGACCACTTCAAGCTGACTCCCCATTCCCATTGACTCAGGGCCACACAGTGCTTACACTAGCACCAGAAACACACATCAGGAACATACATTGTCAGGAGGGAGCTGAAAGCTCACGCAAAGCTGAATCTCAGACTACAGCCCTGTCCCCAGACAGGACTTTTTCTGAAAAAAAAAAAAAAAAAAAAGAGGCAGCAGATCTACGTACAACTATTTTTATTTTTCAAAATAACTTTTTCTGAAGATTTCTACAGGGCAAAACAGCTTCTGAAGAGCTGCAACTGCCCAGTCTTTTGTGAAACACTAGGGAAGACTTATAATTCAGGCTTGATTCTGGGTTTTGTAGAAAATGAGATGAGAGCAGCCACTAAGGAAAGTAACAAGCCTGGAAGTGCACACGTAGCACAGCATAATCCAGGTAGCCACCGAAACTGAAACTCTACTTCTGTAATTCAGGTCTCTAGAAGTCAAAGCATTGTACACTTAGTCATTGTAGATCACATTCATTTTTTACAACACTACGTTTTATTAGAATCGGGCAAGTATTTATAAAGGAAGATCACAAACAAGATGTTATCTTAGTTCATATTAAGTGTTACCCTAGGAAACCATGGGGAGAAGAATCACGTAATATCTGCCTGTAGCATTAAGTCAAATTCTTTTTGATGCTATTTAAAACCACTTTTCCCTACACAATTAATTCATACAACACGTTCTAATAAGATTTCAGAGCTTCTCAACAACAAATGATCAAAAACACTTTTGGGGACTGAGGGGATTTATGGAAGAAAACAGATAAAAACAAAATCTTTTTGCAGCTGCCTTTCAGGTCAGAGCTTCTGGATTACAACAGAAAAATGCAGGTTTCTAGGACACACTGCCAGCACAAGCGTTACCTGCACAGCCGCACCGGCAGGGCTTGCTCAGTGCCCCAAGCAGCTACCAGCAGCAGCCCGAGCGACCGGGGGGCCCCAGGCCAGCCCCCCACCCCACAAACACCCAAGTGACAGTTCAACTTAGCCATCTGTGCTCTGCAGAGCAGCCTGAGAATAAACACAGTATGGGCACGAAGCGTGGATGTATGTAGGCTGGAGTCTTTCACTAAATGATGGAGAAACAATCCTAGTCCCCGGACAAGCGCAGGAGCTCTGTAAATGACCTTCACTGGAGCAGAAGGCCAGTTCTTACAGCCTAACACCATCCTAGCAAAACACTTTTTTTTTTTTTTCTCCATTCTATGTCCTTGCTTTAAATAAAAGTCAGAACATCAGAGGTCAAAAGCAAGCAGGGAAACAAACAAACAAACAAAATATATTCCTTGCCAAAAAAAAGGCACCTTCGGACATCTCGCAAGCTCACCAGGGAACAGATCATCCACCCCGGGAGAAACGGGATGTCCCGGAGAGACCCAGCCTGCAGCATTAGGCCCCTGCTCCCTATGGAGGAGCCACCCCCTCTGCAAGTCACATCTCAGGCAGATTTTTAAACAAGCCTATGTCACAGATTGCTAAATTCGAGTTTAAATGCTGTTACTAACCACCGCCATCCCGCTAAGGTCTTGGCAAAACCCACTAATTATCTTTGAGGTAACAAAGCTCTGCAACAGAGGCTTCCGTGGCTGCGTTTTGTTCCACCTGGAAAATTTAACCAGGGAAAAAATAAAGCTTGGCCACTTGCCCAGAACCCACAGGCCTTCCCCGTGACTAAGCTCCCCGCGCCACGGACTCCCAGGCGTGCCAACCGCCCCTCGGTGTCCCCCGCCGAAACCGCCGGGGGTGCCGAGCGGGCTCGGTGCGCTGGGTGGTTTTCCGCCGAGGCTCAGGGCGGAGGGAGGACGCCCTCGCTGAGGGAAGCGGTGGCAGCCGTGACTCCCCTCTTCCACAGCCGCGCTCCAAAGCCCCCCGGTGCCCGCTAAACCCCTCACACCGTGGGGGGGGTGTCTCTGCTCTGCAGGGATTGCTGTGCAGGGACGCAGGGATTGCTCTGCAGGCCGGAGGAGCAGCCGGCGGGGGCTGGGAAGCCGCGGCCGGCGAGACACTGGGAGGGAGGGAGGAAAGGAAGGAAGGACCGCGGCCTTGCCCCGCGGCCGTCACCGCCCCGGCCAGCGGCCTCCGCCCCCCCCTCCCCGGCTTTCAAAAGGATCCCGTCAGGAGAGGCAGCGGGGGAGGAGGCCGAGGAGCGCCCGTCCCCGCCGCTGCCCCCGACTCACGCTTGTACTCGGCCATCAGCCGCTTCAGCGCCGTCCCCGCCATGGCCGCGGCCCCGCCGCTCCGGGGCTGGCGGCTCGAGGGGGCGGCCACCTAGCCGCTCCTCCTCTATGGTACGTGCCCGAGTCCTCCCAGCGCCGCGCATGCGTAGAGCGGCACCCGCCGCGCCGAGCAAACCTGAGGGGGAGCGCGGGAAAACCCCCCGGTACCGGCAGCCATCGTGGGGGAACGGGGCTGCGGGCACGCAGGGAGGGAAAAAGTCCAAAAAGATACCTTGTGCGGCGAAATGCACCCCCTCCGGGGAGGGTGGGTTTTGCTGCGGAGGGGATTTTGGCCACGCGTGTGTCCGTGGCGGGCAGCCAGAGCACGGTGCCACACACACCTCCCGGAGACAAGCCATATTAAGCATGAGGCAGAAGGCTGAGTACCAAACTATATTTACTGTATACAATAGTAAAGGACAACAAATAAATGTACAAATCGGTGAATAAACAGATCTACAGAATGTCCCACCCAGCCCATATACAAGAAAATCAAAAAGAAAAAAAGGGCCTTTCCAGAGAGATTTCCAGCAAGCGGGAGATGATCTAACACAGCCAAACGGGTCAGGTAAATAAAAAAGGCAGATAATGATCCCACGGAGCAGCAGCGGACAACCAATCGAAGGACACCAGGACGGCCTTCGTAAAAATCCATCTCAAAGAGACTCCACACTTCGTGCAGAGCTCAAACCCATCACAAATGCATTTAAAATTCAGTAGATTTGGGGAAGCAGTAGAGCAGATTATTACACACACACACACACACACACACACACACACACACACACACACACCTCTTTCCTTGCTCGCCCAGTTCTTGACAGCTCTTCTGCGCATACAGCTTGGTGACATTAAAAGGAGCTTTTTCCCCCCTCATTTATCAGATTTATCTACCAAAAGCAAGTATTAAAAAGAAACCTGAGGATGCACACTTCAAGTACCCACTGAGAAGAGAGGTACTAAAGGGAGCAGGAGAAAGGTGATAGATTGTGCCCCGGCACTCAGCAGATGGCTGAAGTTGCTGTGGCAGGTTTCTCTCAGCTTGCACAACAAAAAAATACCACTGCTCTATCACAGGCATTAGTTTTTTTGAACAGCTGCTCTACTAACTCCAGTTCTGACAATAATTCAGCACAATTCCCATTTCTGCATTAAAAAAGTATATTTCAGATGACTTTATCATAATATAACAAAGCACATGTAAATCTGCGATATTTTAAACTCCAACTCTATACTAAGCATTGTATCTGCATGTACCAGCCTTGTGTCACAGGCTTAACATTTCTGAAGTAACTGTGCTTGCAACACATGCTAAAAACTTAAAATCAACATCTCTTTTCCTTCTCTTAGGTGTATCTTAAAAGGAAACTTTTACACTCACAACTGGCATGAAAAATATACTGAATTATTTACATGATTAGAATTCAACAGAGGGGCAAGACCAACAAGAGCCAGGAATGAACATTCCATGTCCTAACACATGGATGAGTATTTAGGCCACAGATTTAAAGAAAAATAATTTTAAAAAATAAAAAACAAAAGGTAACAGCAGAGAGACAATGCATATTACTTAATCTGAATTTAAATCAAATTGGCCCAATTTAAGATACAGATTAATCCCTGCAGATACTGTTTTGACTTGCACACGCAGTACGTCAAAGACAACAAGCAATTTTGGTAAGTGTCCTCTAAAGTTTAGAAGAATCCCGTGTGATTGGCATGTTCATTTGTTTACTATTTAATAGCAAATCCAAGGACAGATGACAGTGAGGTGTTATGAGGATCCTTAAAACTCCTCTTCTCAAAAGGACAATGTGTCTTAACACACTCCACCTGTCTGCTGTTGGAACACGTCGATAGTGTCTTCATCTTCCATCTCCAGCTGTTAGAGTAATATGGAAAATACAAGACTTGAAATACAGAATGGTTACAAAAGCACTCAACTCTACTCCTAGCCAGTACCAGTAATGGAGCACTTAAGGTGTAATTTTAATTAATTAATGCATGAAACACTTTCCATCAGTCCCTCCAGAGCAGGCGCTCCATCACCTCTCCCATCAGGGTACCACCAGCACCGAAATGGTTCTCAGAGGCACACCCGTCAGTCAGACCGAACTTGGCAGCTTATCTTAGTTTAGCGCCACAAATCTCCCCGCCAAGCATCGCCTCTGTTTCTTGCCTCAGGCCTTGCCAGCCCAGGAAATTCCCCATGTCCTCAGTAATGCCCTCGCTGATGGCAGCTACAGCTTCAGTGCTGGCTCTGAGCAAGCTGACACAGAAGTAGGACAGAGATGAAAACATCGGCACTTACTGGGGGTCCTTTCTATACCAGCACTCCGGTGCTGGCTTGTTCAGCACCGATGCTCCTATGCATTTCCCCCTGCACCCAACAGTTAAAACATTCAAGGGAGGGGAAAAAAAAAAAAAAAAAAAACAAACAAAACCAAACCCACCCTAGACAAATCATTTGTAATGTGCTAAACTCAGAGCAACTGTTTCAGAATCATTTTGATTCTCAACCCCTTTGACCTCGCATGTAGACATAAATTTATATAGGAATTTGCAGTAAAAGTATTTTTCATACCTGTGCAGGTGTGTCTGTTTCACTAATCGGTTGTCCATCAAATCTGAATCTAATCTGCCTCATCGACAAGCCCTGAAAGTTCAAAGTATTTAATATGAGACACCATGCTTTTGTTTCTGAATCCAAACAAAGACTCACGCAGTTACTGTCAGCACAAATATTAACAAAATTAAGACTCAGAAGATTTAACCAGACAGGAAACTTAGTGCATCTATTTTGCTATATAAATTGAGGAAGTGGAGCTGTTTGAGCAATGTCTCGCTGCACTGCTGCCACAGCAGGGACTCTGACATGGAACCACAAGTGTGGGTTTGGCACCTGGTTCTGATCCTGCTCTGCAAGGCACAAATATCAAAAGTCAATTTACAAAGGTAATTTAAGTGGAAATCAACCAATGCACCGTTCTATAAAGCCTCAGAGGACATGTCAGGGAGGAACAGCAATTGTTTCGCACACACTCAGAGAAGTAACGGTAGATTAAGCTGACTCAAAGGAAAACAATTTTTAAAAAAATCTGAAAAAAACCCTACTTTTTTGTGTAACTAGCTATCATGACCGACTACCCATAGTTAAGACAAGTTTTCACTCATGCCAGGCGTCTGTTCCCAGTTCTAGTTCTTTATCTCCTGATGAAAAAAGGAAGCGTGCAGACAACCGTTTGAGGAAAAAAGAACTTGCAGGACTTGATGCAGATTCTTACTGGCAAGGTTTATTAGAAAAACGCTAGGTCTAGTGTTAGTAAATGAACATTGGCCTTAAAACCCAAGCTGAATTAATGACTGAATCCTGTTTTGACAGCATTTAAACACTCCAGTCTTCATGCCCTGCCTCAGGGATAGAGGTCTTTGCTTTACCCTCTAAAATCCTTCACAATCCCCATACAAGTCACACTTCCAGTCACACACAGAACCACACGAGCGCAAAAACTTCCTGCACCTTCCTAAAGGGTTCTAGGGACAGGGGGAAATGCCTGCAAACGAAATCTGATGCCGCTTCCAAAAGCCGTTTGCATCCACACCCTCTGTTTTGCTCCACCTAATTCACCCTAGAAGCACAGGCCCGGAGGGCTATGGCCTCAGGAGCTGGGATCTGGGGACAAAGCCCTCTCCTGTTTAGCTCAGTGTGGCACGGAGGAATGGCCACCAACACTGAGTGGCCAGCTGCCACCTGCAGAATACAGCAGTCCAACCTGCACAGCGGGCAACAGAAGAGAGGAGGAAAAAAAAAAAAAAACCAACCTGCAACAAAAGCCACAGCATAGCAGAGTCTGTTTTGTGCCCTTTTCCAATCAGAAAACACTCTCTGTATTATGTTGATGAGGTTTTTAGAGATGACAGAACCGAGGATTATGAGGCTAAAAATTCAGAGTGAATGGTCTCAGAGCCAGGATCAGAACTCGAGAAATTTTGGTAATGCTGTCGTAGGACGTTTTTAGAGCTCCGGGAGATGGGGAAGAGGCAGTTTTCACTAACTCTAATGCTTAAGAGCTGACAGCATCCCGAGTCCTCGCCCTCCTACACGCCTGGATATTGTACACCCCGACACCTGGGCTCTTCCACCGCTCCTGCGAAGTTTCCACCGTCCCGAGGGCTCTCCCCCAGGGCGAGCGGTGGGAGCAGCCCCGCCGAGCCGTGCCTACCTGCCGCTCGCAGTAAGCCTTCATCAGCTTGCTCAGCGGGGTGTGCCGCTTGATTTTGAACTGCACCACGGAGCCGTCCTGCCCCGCCACTTTCAGGTTGATGTGATCGTTCTCCGTTTTCACGCCTTCCTGGATGGAAAGACGGGAGGGAGGCGGGGGTTCAGAGCCCGGGCCGGGTGAGCCCCACCGCGTCGCCGGGCGCCGTGCTCGGCCCGGACGGTGCCCGCTGCGGAGACTGGGCGGTCTCCCCCGGTTCAGCGGGGTTCCAGGGCTCCGCGAAGACCCCCCCCCCCCCCCCCTTCCTCCTCTGCCACCGCCCCCCGGCCCGGCCCGGCCCACACCGCCATGTTGGCGGCCCGCATGCCGCCGGGCGGAGCGGGGAGGGCGGGGGCCCAGCGGAAAGGCCTCCCCGCGCCCTCCCCGGGGGTCTCGTCGCGCCGCGGGCCCCGACTCGCGCCTCACCTTGGGCTTCTCCTCCGACATGGCGGCGGGAGCGGGGGGCGGGAGGGGGTGGGGGGGGGAGGGGGGAGGGGAAGGGGACGACGCGCGCGCGCGCTGAAGGAGCAGCCCGCGCACTCGGCTCCCGCCGCCCTGGCCACCCGCGAGAGCGCGCGCCCCGGCCCCGCCCTCGCCGGCCGCCCCGCGCGCCCATTGGTCGCCCCGGCCCGGTCACGTGAGACGGGGGGAGGGGGGGGGGGAGGGGGGGAAGGACGGTGCTGGAAAGTGCGTCACGGCGCAGCGGAAGCGCCGCGGGCGGGGCCAATGGGATAGCCGGGTTCCCCCCGCCCAGCCGCACGGGGGCGCCATGCACCGTCCGCCTCGGCGCTCCGCCGCCGCGCCTAGAGCGGCCCGTGA